GAGTCATTGTTTAAAATTATTTTTTAAGATAATTAAAACCCTTGCCTCTCAGAGAAGCAACAATGATGCAAGGACATTTTAATCAGAGATAAGGATAAAGGGAGTCTAATAAATGTAAAACCTAACCAATGGGCACAGTTAATTCTTGGGTCAAATGTTCTACTTCGTAGAGAGAAATTTGACATTTTTCTGTGCCTGGGAGCACATCCTGCTCTCCTCTGATTTGGGAGATGGTCTCATCACGATTACTGGCTGTGGCGATCCTGCCAAGTAATGAGGGCACCTCATATTCCTGAAACCACGGACCTTCCCGCTATAATGACACAGTTCCCCGCACCAGCTCCCTCCATCAGGTGGTTTCAACAAACATTTTTATCACTTCTATGCTAACTGCTGAGAATGCAAAAAAAAAAAATTGTGATTCGCACCCTCAGAAGTACACAGAGCAAGCTGTGTAGTGGGGAAGGAGCTAGTCGGTGTGGCGTGGTGAGTACTGGGCGGAGCGCAGGAACACTCTGCAGGGCCCACGGAATGTTAACATTCCGGATTTGTAGTTTTGCCTCCACATCTTGAACTCACCTCTAAAAAGTTTGCACGCTGGGAGTCTTGGACAGTATCCCTCCGAGAGTCAAGGGATCTCCTCTATGTGACCTAGGACAGGATTCGTGGCTTACTTTCCTCCATGCAGAGAGCTGGTCTCTGTACCACCTATAAACAGTTCGTGATCTCTCCGCTGATTTGTGGTGCCACTAATTATATATCCCTTTCCCGTTTTCCAAGTTTTCTGTTTTGAAACACTGTCTACTTGCCTATTCCCACACCAGTGTTCATCGCAGAGGCTTTTAGCATATCTAAATACTGCATAGGATAATCCACCGCTCCTTCGGCCTTCTTTTTCAGAGTTGATTTAGCTATGTCTGGACCTTTAGTTTTCCATATTCATTTAAAAATAAGTCTGTTGCCTTTGTTAAAAAAAAAAAATCCTTCTAGGATTTTGATTGGTATTGCAGTAAATTTACATAAAATTTTAGAGATAACTGACTTCTTTGCATTGTCAAGTCAGCGTGCAGTCTTAGGTCGTGTAAATTCCGTGTGTTAAAACAGAATAACGGTCCCTCAAGGATGTCCACATCCCAATCCCCACAGTCCGTGACTAAGTTACCTTACATGACAAAAGGGACTTTGCTGATGTGATTAAGTTAAGGATCTAGAAGTGGGGAGATTATCCAGAATTATCCAGTTGGACCCAAAGTAATTCCAAGGGTCTTTATAAAAGGGAGGCAGGAGTGTCAGAAACAGAGATGTGAAAACTGCGTCAGACATCAGAGTGATGCAGGGCCATGAGCCATGGAATGCGGACACCCTCAAGAACCTGGAAAAGGCAAGAAAAGGCATTCTCTGCTAGAGCCTCCAGAAGGAATGCAGCCCCGCGGACCCATTTTGAACGCCTGACCTCCAAAGCTGAGATAGAAATTTGTGGTGCTTTAAGTCTCTAAGATTGTGGTGCTTTGTTAACAGGAGCAATAAGAAACTAATACAGCCACCCTGACCATAAGTATAGAATAATGCCCCATTTATTTAGGTCTTGTTTGATACCATTCCTTGCTAATAGACACCTGATAGGTTCGAGGTATTGGATGGGCATGTTCTTCAGGGAAGGGTAGGACACCTTCTCAGCCCTATGGGTTGGATTTGATTAACTTAGGACAATGTTTTACATTTAATTCCTGTTGTCAATGATGATTTTTAAAATGGGCGTGCAGTTCGTTCTGGCAATGGAATCTGAGATTTTCCTTATTTTTATGAAGGGCTTGAGAAAAGAATGTATTTTCTTTTTCCCTTTTGGTCTTTGAGTATTGTTTGGGATGCAGTGCCTGGAGATACTGCAATCATCCTCTTTACACAAAGTGAAAATCCTAAGAACAAAAGCAAAACCACAGAGGAGTACAGAGTGACCCAGTGGAGAGAACCTGGATCAGTAGTGAAGTCATTGAGGGTGGAATTCACCACCCTGTCTCTGCACTACCTCTGGAATTCTCTTTACGTTAGATAATACATTTCCCTTATGGTTTAAGCCAGTTGAATCGAATTTCTTTTTTTTAATTGTAGTCCCAAACATTCTAATTAATGTATTAAATAAGCATAAAGAAAATAAAAATTATTCTAATAGCCAGAGAGAATTACAATGATCATTTTAGTGTATTACATTTAGTTTCAGTATTTAGCTTCTTTCTACAAATATTTTTAGAAAAATAGAAACCTTTTAGTGTTTGTGTGCGTGTATATGTTGTTTACTATTTGATTTCAGTGAGTTTTCTGTTGCATTATTAAGCATCCTTTGAAAGATGATTTAATGATTTATATTTATATTGACATACCACAATTTATTTAGCCATTCTGCTATTTTTGACATTTGTTTATACTAATTTGAAATTATTATTTGTTTGATGAACAACTTAGTACATAAATTACATAAATATTCGCAACAACAACAACAAAAAGCTTGTATGACTCTCCATTTACAACCAACACTCTCGGGTAACCCACATGCCAAGAGTGTAGATAAATCTAGAGTCTTATTGCTCTTGGGAACAATATGTATTGCACACATTCAAGACAGTAGTACTTTTGGAGTCAGTAATTCCACTGCTAGGATTTCATACTGAGAAGTAATCAGATGTTCACAGATACATATACAAGAGTATTTATTGCAATATTATTTATAAAATCAGAAATTACATGCCCACAGTAGGAGGCTGGTTACATAAATTATGATATATCCACACAAAACAGTATTAAAATGTTTCAGAGGAATATTTAATGACATGGGAAGAGCCTCACAACATATTATTAAGTGAAAAAGCAAATTATAAAATGGTATGAATATAGCCATGCTGCCTATTTATAGCGATTCCAAGCTAGTATTTTTAAAGTATATATTTGCATTTTAAAAGAGATTTTAAAGATACCAAATATTAGGTGGTCATGCTTAGGTATTGGGAAGGCAGGTCATTCTATATATTCTATGTAATTACCTAATTTTTCATGATAAACACTTACTGTTTTTATAATCAAGAAAAGAAAGGTTGCAGGTAAATACCAATGCATTTGCCGTGTGCAGTGGGGGCCCTGCCACCCTCCCTCAGCTGGGTGTCAGCTGCACCTCCCTGACATTTTCTTCCCACCCAAACCTACCCCTCCATGGGCTCCGGGTCCCTGCTGCCCCCATCTCTGTCCTGTCACGAACACCTCTTTGCTCTGTCTTCACCCTCCCCTCCTGCCTTCCTTAGGCCTCTCAGCATCTGGGGCTCTGCTTCCCTCACCCTCTGGCCCCTCTGCCTACTTCCCTGCTCCCTCCTCCTCCCTGTCCACAGCCCTACGCAGGCAGGCAGCGACTTCCAGAGGGCACCATGGCCAAGGTCACAGGTGACCTTCCAGTTTCCAACCCCTGAGGACACTCAAGCCCATTGTACCTACTCTTGCAGTGGCCACTGCTGACCTCCTGGCAGCTGTCCCACCCCAGTCCCTGTGCCCTGGCCCTCCCCATCTCACCCCTTCTCCTCCCAAAATGCTATGTTCTGGAGGCCCCATCCAAGGCCCTCGTCCCATCCTGCCTGTTCTCTGGTTTCCTCTACACACATGACACCCAAATCTAGCCCAGATGTGTCCCCGCAGCACCCAGTTCAGCATTTCCTGGATCAATACGGCTGTCTTCTGAGCACCCTGCTTCAGGGCATGGCATAAATAGCCCCAGACAGGCCCTCGGGCTCTGCCCGAGCCATCTCTTTCCCTCCCAGTCAGGGACGCCTCCTAAAGGTTCTCCCTGGCCCCCTCCACCCTCCACGATTATGGACAGAATATCTTTTTAGCAGGGAATGACATTTCTTTGACTCCCCACTTCCCTTGGGAATCAAGTCTAAATCCCTGGCCTGGCCTACAGCGTCCTTCTCAGTGGACCCACACCCAGGGGTCAGAGCTCCCCAGGACACCCTGCCCCTCCACACTACTGTCTTATAGGTGGGGTGGAGACAGGTCATCTGTGTCTTGTGCCTTAAATCTTTCTGTAACAATGCAGCGTAAATATATACGCTGTATACACACACACACACCTTTTTATCCTCTTCCCCTTGCTCATAGTGTTAAACCTCTGCTGGAAAACTTTCCCTCCTCTGGCCCCTGGCAAACTCCATCTCAGAGTTCAGGGCTGAGTGCCCACCTTGGGAAGCCTTCCCTGCCCCTCAGGGTGGCTAAGTGTCTCCTTGTCTTTACTGTTGGGTTGAACCATATGAAATTGACATTCAAGAACAGCCATTTTGCAGGGCCCAACCCTAGACAGGCACATGCTTGTCATCATGTGTCCCCCACCAAGCCTTGCCGGAGTAGGTAGCTAATGGCTCCTGTTGAAGGGGGAGCAAATGCCCCCTTGCCATATGCACAACTGGAGAGCCTTCCTTGGGGACTGTCGTCAAGGCTGCCCTGAGGAGCCTGCCCAAATCCCTCCCTGCCGCTGCCGTGAGTTGCCCAGGCCTCTGTCTCTCACTCTTGGCCCCAGTGCTTGTCTGCTGGATGAACGAGTCTCCACCGGCTCGGGTGCCACGTTGGGCCATGCAGAGGCCTCGTTCTGCATGCATCATTTAGGCAGCGTTTTAAGAAAATATACTCTTCCCAGGTCTAGTTCTTGCCCAGCTCTTGCCATGCTAACATGACAACACATTGTCTTCTCTGACTGGATTCATCCCTTCATTCATCTGCTTCATCCTTGGAGAAAACCAGATGTGTGCCTTATGTTGTTTGGTTGAAATGTCATGGTCCTATGACACCCAAAGCCATATGACAGAAGTGTGTGTTAGAAACATACTAAGCCTTGTGTCACTGTGAATTCACAAAGATGAAGTAAGGCTACTACTTCACAGGGTCAGCCTCTCAGTTTCCGCCAATACCCTTTAAAAAGATTATTTAATTTATTTTAATTCCTGTTGTCAATGATGATTTTTAAAATGGGCGTGCAGTTCGTTCTGGCCATGGAATCTGAGATTTTCCTTATTTTTATGAAGGGCTTGAGAAAAGAATGTATTTTCTTTTTCCCTTTTGGTCTTTGAGTATTGTTTGGGATGCAGTGCTTGGAGATACTGCAATCATCCTCTTTACACAAAGTGAAAATCCTAAGAACAAAAGCAAAACCACAGAGGAGTACAGAGTGACCCAGTGGAGAGAACCTGGATCAGTAGTGAAGTCATTGAGGGTGGAATTCACCACCCTGTCTCTGCACTACCTCTGGAATTCTCTTTACGTTAGATAATACATTTCCCTTATGGTTTAAGCCAGTTGAATCGAATTTCTTTTTTTTAATTGTAGTCCCAAACATTCTAATTAATGTATTAAATAAGCATAAAGAAAATAAAAATTATTCTAATAGCCAGAGAGAATTACAATGATCATTTTAGTGTATTACATTTAGTTTCAGTATTTAGCTTCTT